TCAAGGCCCTACCCAATCTGGCTTGAACACTGCCAGGAATGAGGCAATTTGTCTGGACAACCTTTTTCAGTGCCCCACCATCCTCTGAGTAGAGAATTTATTTCTAACAACATCTGATGTAATTCTCTCCTCTGGTCCCCCTTGTCTAATCACTACCTGCCTACGTAACAGTCCTGATTTACACATCTAACAACAGCAGCCAAGACCAGGGAATAAGAGTCAGAAAGGTACACAGGTAGGATTGTAGGATTGTAGGATGGTCTTACCATCTCGCCCATGCCTGTGGCCAGATTTTGCAGCAGTCCAAGTGGTTTCTACAGTTCTCCTCTGGCAGTTCTGAGATGAGATTAGGGATTGTGGTTGCTGTCTTTCATCCCAACTGAAAAAAAGCATGCAGCAGTCACAAAGCAGTGATAACCTTTTCTCCCTAAAGCCTTCCCTGCCAATACCTCTGTTTCTATGTCCAAATAGACAATTATAACTTAGTTTACACTTAATCTCTCCAACTTTAACTGAGCCCTGGCAGTTAAAGAGCTATTGGTGCTCTTCTTTTACAGGGAAAAAAAAACCATTAAGTGCCTTAGTTCAGACATCTCAAATAAAACTCCCCAAATTAGTAGCATTTAGGGTCCTTGATTATTTCTTAGGAGCACCAGACAGTGAAGATAAAGCACCTGTTGGAGGAGAATAATCTTTTTTTCCCATACCATAGTTCCTACTCTGCAGAGAACTTTTTAAAAAAGAAAACAAACAGGTAACGGATTCAAACTCTTAGGTATGTAAAAAAGCTAAAAACTCATTTCCAATGCACTCTCCTTTGCCCCATAAAGTCTACCTTTTACCCAAGTATTTGGCTCAGTGTACTGCTGCTTATCTTTTAACTATCGAACTTAAATATACATAATGTGATTGGAAAACATGCAAGTTCACAATCCACTGATTGAGAAATAAAGTTCATCATCATAAAAAAGAATAAATTCTTGCAATAAGTGGCAGAGCATTTAGCAGAGAAAACAATGGCCTTTGCTCCTGACTGCTCCCCCACAGACAATTACCTCGTGTATGTATACATACTGGTTTTGCTCAGCTGAATGTCTACACTTTTTTTGCAACTCAGCATTTTCATGTGGTCCTTCACAATGCAATCAGGAGGTAAGTGATAGTTTCAAAACAAGCACTTTGAAAGAATGAATGGCTGCCAAGTACAAAAGACTACCTCTTTATTCAGCACTGCCACATCTAAAGAAGAGAAACTGGTTCTCCTATCAACAGTCAGCTGTACAAGAAACTTTTAGCTTGCATTTGTCTGTACTCCCAGAGCTTAAATGCTGACATGAAATTTCCATGGATATCAATAATAACGAATCAGGTAACAACAGAGAACCTGACTTCCTATGCCTGTGTTTGGAAGAGAAAGAAAAGGCATCTCTTTAAACTATTTTAGCTGCACACACATACCTCCAATGCAGACAAAATTGGCTTACTCATTTAATTCAGAAGGCAACACACAGTGTCCATCAAAGCCTAGAAAGGTTTAATTTTCCTTCTTTTAAACTAGCTCAGAGATGGGAATTAGTGAAAAATGGAAACACACCACACCTTTAGTATTTCTCCAGTAGTAAGGAAGCGTATGTCTGAATGAACATTTCAGCACACGGTTTAAGTCCAAACATCACAACTCACCTGGAGCTAAAAATTTAGTAGAATATGTGCTTTCAGACAGATAGACCAAAGATCTATTTAGGCTAAAAAACATTTAGTAGGTCCTTGTGAGTTTAAGTTGAAACCACAGAAAATACACAAATGCTAGTATTTTGAAAAATACCTTTTTAATCCATGTTTGCAAAGAATGAGAGTCTTGTGTAGGAAGGAGCTATGCTACAAATAATAAATTTGTCCTTAAATGCTCCAATTACCTGGTAACAAAGAAGGGAAACAACCTTACACTAGCATTGAGTGGGTCTGCCATAGTTATATCTTCTGAATATTTCTGAAACCAGTGACTTTACCTTATAGTAAATATGTTCTGTGCTGTGCATTTCATTATGTCCAAGAGGCCAATTTAGAGCTTTCATGTTTCCACAAGGTCAATACAAACTATGTATACACTAAAAAAATATACCAAAACTGTAATTATAGACTTCTGTTTTTTCATTAGATACACTGTGAAGAAAACCCCTACCATGGAAAGCAACCTTCAGAGTCTCTCCTGCATAGGAACCAATTTGTATTTCACTGCAGTGATCTTAGTGTCACCAAAATATTTGTTTGCTTGCAATAAAACATATCTAATACAAACACACACTTGGTCTAATGGGAATTTAAGACTCAAAGACACCATATGGGTGATCAAAATAAGTTATGTGCATCAATTATCTAAGAAATATGTGCCAAGTACCACAGAGCACAAAAGATTTTGTATCTTGTAATATATAGCCTAACAACCTGGGACATTACTTTAACACTCACATATAAAGTTCTGATTATATGTATTTATTGTTCTTTTCAACCCAAAATGGTAAATCAGACTCCTTGATCTCATGAACACTGCTAACCAAATTTATTGTATTTATCCTTAATTTTGACATAGATGTCAGCTAAAGAAGCTACTGTTTCTTTTGCTGCCAGTGATTTCACACATTGAATGAGAAAACAAAAGCATTGTGTATCTCCTGTAAAACAGGAGACAGATACTTTTTCTCAGTTTAGGAAACCTTTGTATATCCACTGAAAACAGAACTGATTCAGCAAAGACATCTATCCCTCATCCTTTTTTCCTGACTGCTCTAAAAGTAGTAAGCACCAACTGATTTGCTTTTTCTTCATTTATAAAATTTAATTTGTACCTGAGGAGACATGTATCTTACCTTCATTCCACTTCCTCTTAGAAGGAAAGGGGGAACCAAACCAAAAACCAAAACCAACGGAACAAAAACCAAACAAATTCCCAAAATACATACACACACATACACAAAAAAAAGGAAAATAAAAAGATGAGAACAAGCACACAGATCAGAAAGGAAGGTACACATACCACATCAGATAAAGGTGTAAGAGAAAAACTGATGCAATGGTTTTGAGGCATCAGTGGTCATGGACTGCACATAACATAATGCCCACAAATATGACATTAGTCTTCATTCACAGGCACAACTGCAATCTGATACAAGCTGAAATCGATACCTGTGACCTAAAATCCTAAACGAAAAAAAAGCTGTCTGATTTATGACCTCCTCATCATTGACAGTTTTCAGACCTTAGATCCTAGATCCTCCCAGAACACATGCAGACATACTTAGACAAAGTCATTTTTAGAGCACATTCATGCCACATTTTGAAGCAAATGCAAAGAGCACCAGTGATGGATTCATCATGGCTATTTTCACAGGAACAGCAACGACAATTAACGAAAACATTAAGAAAAAAACCTTATCTTTCCTGCAGAGAGAAATCAGGCTGGAACCCTAATTTCAGTGAACTATAAAGTCTGTGATTAAAACAAAAATCCCCAAAATCACCACCCTTAATCACCAACCAAGTTTAGATTTCATTATAAGCAGATTGACTTCAGTCACAGCATAGACTGACATAATGAAAAAAGGAAGAAGACAAAACATAGTTCTGAATTTAAATAATTTTCACTTACATAGTGCTCTGTGCACACGGATCTTCAAACCCTTTACAAACTGTGAATAACTGCTCTTCTCACCTTCCATTTAAAGAAAAAAAAGCAATAACGCTAAAATAAAAAGTAGCAAGAGAGCTGAGAAAGGACTTGGAGACAGGTCTCACTTCCAAAATGAAAGCTATATTTGGATCAGTTTCGCCCAAACCAGAAATTTAAACGTCCATGCCCCTCAACTGAAAAAATTAGCAGCAGACTTCGAGAGTCTCATATTTTTAACTCATTTGCCCAGGCAGGGTCAATGCTGAAAGGGAAACCTGAAAGACTACTACTTGAAAAAAATAAGATTATCTTAATTTTCTTTTAAAAAAAATAAAACAGCTTCAGTTCCCCAGAAGCTGTATTCTCAGGAAAACTGGCTATTAATCTAGCAGTGCTTTAGGCAGGCTGATTAGCAGTCAAACTTACATTTCATCAGGCAGAGAACATGCTGTCTTCCATTTGGAATGGCAGTGCCCTGGAAATACTCCTCCTTCATGCTGCTTATTGGAAACAGGATCCATTTAAGTTTAAAAACCAAGCAAACAAACCCTCTTGCTTGCAGTTTCAGCAAATCAATTAATCAGTATTAGCTTCCTTTGTTGAAGTTCCTTGAGGATATTAGAAACACCCATTTTCATTTCACTGACATTTCTTGTTCTGCTTGAAATTCAGTGAAAAGCTGCCTATTTATACATCCACCCAAGTTATGTCATCTGGCCATTACCAGTGTGATCAAAGTTCCAGGCACACAGGTAATTGACCCCAAAGCACAGTGTTTGAAGGCCTTGTTTGACATGATTTGTGTTATTCTCTGCGTCATTAATTATTTCACCTGCTGTCCGCTATACTTACAACCAAAGAAAGAGAATACAAACTACTATTCAATGCAGCTTGCTTGAGACATTCACCTGTCTCACTACAGGCAGGAATCATTTCAGCTATACTAATGAATAGCCTATTTTCTGAGAATAAGGCTGTATAGGTTATCTGCAATAATTATGAATAGTTTCTAATGTTACTATAAACTTAAATTCTCAATTTAAAAATCATAGCTGAGAAACATGAACATTTCATTAAAATATGCCTGACTTTCCTTTCCATTGCTTCAGCTGAAAATCATTCAGAACTATTAAAACAAAACTGTTTTCTATTTTCATTGCATGATGAACTCCCACCATGGAGGTAACATGTGACTTCTTTAGACTGTATGTACACCCAAATGAAACTGGGTTCCCAGGAAACAGTGACACTGAACTTCAACATTAATTAATAATACAGAGGAAGAACAGAAACAAAGGGAGCCAACGGAGGGGAAGATGAGCAACAGACTTGCCTATTAAGAGGTTAGAAATCCCAAGTTTATAGTCTGGGTTCTCTTGCCATCATAGGCAGGCATCAGCACTAGCTGTGGTTTCATCAGATCACACCTGCATTGCGATAATACTTTACAGACTGCAGCCGAGGAGCAGCATGCAACGAAAAACAAAACAGAGAAAGGATTACTGCTAACAGCCTGGTACTATAGCAATTCCAAGCAAATGTAGCATGAATCTTCCCATCATCTCCAGATGCATGTTACCAATAATATTCATCAAACAATTTATTAAGAATCTGAAGTGAAAAGTTCAATCAGAGAAATGCTCTTGTAATGAGGCTTTAACAAATCACTGCTCCTGGACAGAAAGAAATACACACCAGATTAGATTTTCCTTGTCCAAATACACCCCTGACATTTTTGGTGGCCACGACTGCTTTAGACACTCAGAAGCCAGCTACACCATCCTGCCTCAAAAGGACAAAAACACATCAGATTAAAGAAACCTGCAAGTATAATACACCCTCAATCAGCACTGTGGCGTAATTTTGGGTCTAGATACATTTTTTATACCCAAAATCATGCCTCATATTTAGTTGTAACTGCAATAGCCACAAAACTATAGCATCTATTTCTGAGTCACTTGTCTTGGATAATTAGTTTGCCCAGAGCATGAGTCACCAAGTTAGAAATTAGTTAGAGTATGACTCATTTTTAAATTTATACTAATATTATCCTTAAAAAGAAAAAGGTCTCCTTTCTTCCCCCCAAACTGTTCAATGTTTTGGTTCTTTTCATAATGCCAAAATGGGCTTTATATAGAATATCTGAATCAAATGTTGAAATAATTATCCCCTTTTTATAATTCCTTTAACCCAGAAGGATCTGTCAGTAATTTTTAAATGCATGTGTTCTTCAATGCATCCACATATACAGTGAAGTGAGGCAGTATGACAGGACTTGGCAACACTATACAAAGCACCTGACTGAAACTGCAGTAAGATCCTATAATTTGTTTAAACAAGACAGGAAAATTCAGATGCACAAAACTGAATTAGCAACAATGGAATTTCACCATTTACCTCTCAATTTTTGCAAAACAGGATTTATTCTGACTACTGAGGGTGAGATTAGCCAGTACTTAGTAGCACTCAACCTTTCAGTTTCTTCAGATTTCAGCTGTGAGCAAAGTTTCAGTAAGGAAGCCTGACCTGTTTCAAAACACTGCTTATCCCTGGCTGCAGCATGTTGTGACAACAATAGGCAGGGCAGCATCAATTTGAGAACAAGATGTTAAACTACCTTTGGAAATACTCTCTAACTCTGCAAGTCTGGATATGCTCAAAGGCTGCAATCCAGGCAGGCACCTGCATATTCAAGTCCTTGCTGAAGAATAGCCAAAAATGCAATTTTACAAACAGTAGCCAATCCAAGACTGCTTAACACAAGAGAAGCAGCCCTGCCCTTCTGTCCCATCAGCATTTCTGCCTGCTCTTCTGCTGCCCCAGCATCTGTTTGGCCACATTGATCCATCGGCCGATTTGGCTAAAAATAATGGCATAAGAATGTGCCAAAAAAAAGTTAGTTGCTCATTAATCCACCTTTTGAGAAGTCACTGAGACTTCATGAGTTTTCATAGCCTTTCATCTGCTGGTCCACTTTGAGTGAAGAAGGCTGTGTTTCTCTTCAAGGACTGCAAGGAGCATTGTAGTCCAATTGCACGGCACAAACACAGGCTCTTCTACTCAAGACTACGATTTTGTTCTGTGCAGGGCAGATGTCTAGCATGTATTAAGCTCTCTGCCTTCTGTTTGTTTTTCCTCCAGGATGGCCAAAGCTCAGCTGGTAGTACAGTAAAATGTAAGCCCTGGATATTTGCTATTGTCAAAGAATCATTATTTTCCAGTCTTTCAAAAGCATGTCACTGGTTAAGAATTTGTTTACTCAATGTTCATTCCTCGCCCTTTTATCATGCTGTAGGATAGCCATGGTCCCCAAAACTAGACATGAATTTTGATATCTAAGCTAAGAGGCTAGTGAAGAAAGGCTCCTCCAAAGGGTAATTTGGCTTACAATTACACAGCTTAGCTGTACCATGTAGTTTAAGTGCACTTCCAGAACAAGAATTTAACATAGGCTGAATCCATTCTGAGTGTTTCTCAGCACAGGCTGTACAGGAAGGCCAGGTTAAAACATCTGAAGGTCAGTGGTGTGACTTTCCCACTCCAATCACATCTTCATGTGAGTTAGAGCAGAAGTCCTGAGTGCCCAAAGCCAGGATGACATTCCAAGGAAAGGTACATCATGTCATGGAATGGCACTAATTCCTGAGATCAAGACAGATGGTTGACATTTGGCAAGAATAAAAGAAACCCTGTCTTGGGTGTCAGAGCCAGCAAGATGAGTAATACTACACTATAACATAGCCTGCTCCTTAGATTTAGCCCATGTTATTTGAGCAGTAAACTTCTTCCTCTTGATTCACTTCTTTTTGAAGCACCTCATATTTCTGAGACACAGAATTGTCCAGTCCTCTGGCTTCTACAGAGAACTTACAGATGTTTGTACACACACCCACCCCTTTACTGGAATTCTTTCAGCTTCTTCACCTAAAAGCTATATATTATATATATTTAGAGGTATCTTGGCCAGTTTCCCTACCTCAGAATTGCATGACTCAAGATTGAATTCATGCTCCAATTTATTTATCTTGTTAAGCTTTTAGTAAGAAGATAGAGTAACAACTGAGAATGTAACTTTTAACAAACTGTCTTTGGTAAAATTTTCTCGGGCTGTTCTGAAGGTTCTGGGACCTTTAGACAGCTATTTGGAGATTGCATTTTACACAGCACTACAAAAAAAAACCAACCTAGCAATATTCTTCAAAAAGTAATACTAAGGATTAAAGCTTGAATTTCTTACACCATAAAGAATTTCCACAAGCAGCCTGGAAGTGAAATAAAATTTCAGAAGCCTCAACTGAAATAAAACTCAAACATATGTTTCATTTTAGGAAAAGCCAACCCTGAGATTTTACCTTCAAATTATAGTTACCCTTGTTGGTATTTATACAGCTCAGCAGATGATTGAAAAAGAATCAATAACACATGGGGAGAAATAAAGTTTTACTAATAAGATTTGGAATGCAACTCCAGCCCTTAACCTGGAGCTAGCACACTGCCTGCAAATAAAATAGTTAACATCATGTATTCAAAAAAGTGGCAACATACTGCTCAGACCTGGAAGGTAAAAAGACATTACACAAATCTTTGCAGAACTTAGGCACAGCTTTAGAAATAATAATAAAAAAAAAAACAAGAAACAAAAAAAAGCAGGAGGCATTTCAAGAAGCCAAACAAAAGTTGGATGCACAGTTCAAATACCGTTCATGAAATATAAGCAACATACTTTAAAAAAAATCTCCTGAAGTAGCCAGTGTTTCTGGACTGTATCTTCTGTATCAACAATACAACTCCATTTTTATGACAAAAGGTTATAAGAACTTGAAATCTACAGAAAAACTAAGATGCAAGATCCAGTCTCTGGGAAAACAGTGCCAAAACTCATCCTGATTTACTCTAAGTACATATTCAATTTATTATTCCACCTGTAGAGCCATTTCTAGGAGTATGTCTTGAGGTGTCAGTATCATGCCCACTAGGAGGAAAGAATATTAACCAACTATTCAATACCAGCCATCAGTCTTCCTGCTCGTGGATTCTCTGTCAAGATTTCCAATTATGTGATTACCAGTAATTCAAAAATGCCTCATTTATAGGACTTGGCATGATCACAACCCAGAGGGTTCTGACCCACAACTGGTCTAGCTGAGCTGTGCTCATTTACTGGGGCACAACACAAATGCCCCACAAACTAGATTTAGCTCTGGAAAAGCCACCTATGCACACTTGTGCATCACACAGCACACAGTTTAAGAGTATTCAACTTTTCTCATAAAAATACACAGAATTTCACAGAATAAAATTGTTGACTATATATTTTATTAATTCTTATTTATTATTCTATTACATATTATTATATTAGCAATATTTTTACTACTGAATACACGTATCTTAAACCCCTAAAAACTAACTACACTATTTACCATATGACTATTAGACAAAACAGATTATATATTTACAGGACAAATACCTGTGTCACAATGTGAAAACAGTTCTTACCATTTATGAGAGGTAGAAGGTTTTGATTTCAAAATGCAAGATCTGACTTTCAAAGCAATGATTATTTGTGTTAAAGCATTATAGAGAATAACTGAAAGTTTTTGGCTTAATTACAAGACTTAAAGGTTAGTTACAGCTGAAATGATCTCTAGTTCATCAAAGAATTATGCAATAATTCAGAGGGATGGAAGGAATTCCAGAAGGTGAGGGGAGAAACAGGAAGACAGAGCAGTAGCTTTTTTTATCTCAACTGCACTCTTTCCAAAGACAACGTCTTGAATTATGCAAAGCGAAAGAAATAAATCTCAGAAAATATATTTCAAATCTCCTCCTATCTAAGACAATACAGCTCTTGCTGAAGGAGTAATCCTCGGATTGCCATGCACAGATATTCACATGAAGCTCTGAAGATTTAAATGTGCACACGTAGCACATTTTTGTTACATAAAACACCAGCATGGGACCAGGTGGCCTCACTGCATCTGTGAGAAGAACAAGCATGGCAGTGTCCAGAGGACAAGCATTAAGGCCTAAGTCCAGCACCAGGTGTTACAGGTGCCTCCAGCTGCCCATCAGTGATCCCTTCCTTCCTTTCCAGGCTCCTGACTGCCTCTCTCATGTTTGAATACACTCCTGAAGGCTCCTTTTTGCCAGTGAACCTATGATTCATTTTCCAAACAGTATTTTACATTCCTAGAGCACCTCAAAGGAACAGCCTCACAACCATCTGTGAGCTCTTTCCAGAAGGTTTCCTCCTACCCCACCTGAAACCCCACAATTACTCAGTTAACAAAATTATCTATAAAACATCAGCAGTATTTGGAAACTGAGGACAGAAAGCTCCTGCCTCCCCTAGAGAGGGGGCCTGATGCCTCAACCAACTGCTCTTCATCCAGCACCACAGATCTTCCTGCCCCAAAGCCACCTGTCCCCCAGAGCAAAGCCTTCCAAGCCAGGGAGCACCCATGAGAATGAAGTAGCTCACTGCTTAAAACAGATGATAAAGGGAAACATACCTACATTGCTAAAGGAAAAAAAATGTGACTCAACAGCCTGTGAAGTTAAGAGTTCATAAAATCAGCTGTATGTGCATTAGAAACCTGAAGGCAACAGATGAGAGTGGGGTAATGAGTGTACAGGATCAAATTAAAGGAAGTATGAAAAATGCATCCACCAGACTGTGCAAGTAACAAGATAAATACTGCCCTGAAAGATAGTAATTCAAAAGGGCTGGTATGGCAGACTACCAGGATTACACAATGCAGCACTTTCCTCCAAGACATCTCTGTGACAAGGAACTGGAGTGCTCTTGCCAGTTAGCTCCAAGTGACCCCTGCAGAAGGACTTGGCCTGCAGCCAGGATGAAAGGCAGGGCTGTCAGGGCATGAGGAAGCACAGCAGAACCGAGAGTGACAAGGGAAAACTCAAGTACTTGGTTAATTCCCGGGGGAAGGTGAGTTGAGTACAAAGTAACTGAAGCCAGTTCTGGTTTGGCTGCTACCTCTGATATGCTGAAGGATGCTGGGGAGTGTTATCTGTGTCTCTAATTACTCCTGACAGCAATGTAAAAGCAAGCTGAGATATGCTGTGTCATAGGGCATCATTTCATCATTGTCTCGAGTAGACTATCCACAACTTTTGAATCCTATCTCAGATACAAGGAACATAAGCTTCTAAGGGTAATGGTAACAGTCCTAACAAGTCCTTAATAAAAATATTTTCCTTTAGTGAGTACCAAATGTGCTACACAAGTTATAATCAAATAATCAAATTTCAGGGGTGAATGAGTTACTCAATGCTGTTTTAGCAGCAGAATATTTTTGTTGCAACTGGTGTACTTGCACAAACCATTAAAAAAAATATTTTGGTAGAAAACCATAAAGCTTATTTACATAGATGGAGTTTCATCATCTCCCACTCCAAAGCAGACTGGATTGGTCATGCTGACCTAATGTTTTCTTTATCATGGTTTTTGTGAAGCTGGAACATATGTCAGATTGTGGTTTAGTATGCCCTTTCAGTATCCTGATGGGAGTCCTTTGAGATTGTAGTTTAATTTAGCAGCACGTGCAGTATCATAAAAACAGTTTCAGAAATCTAAAATTCAAAAATCAAAATATTGCCTGTACAAGGAGCTTTGTGATACCCCAACTTAGCAAGAATAATTTTCTGCAGGACATAGACCCCAACGTTTTTAGGAATATACCTTGTAAAATATTCCGAGATCCTCAGTTCTCCTTTCCAACAAGTGGAAGACAACTTTCACGTTTTCTCCCAGCTGCTAATTTTTTCCCTTATTTTGAAAGTCATTTTTAGTCCTCTTCTGGAATGAAAAAGGTGATTTGGCATTAGGTAAGTTCAGTAGTTTGTATTCTGTTTAGGATAGAAACCAAAATAATTTTAAAAGGTTAGCCAGAGTCTTACAGTATGATTTCAAGAACTTTTCAGTTTTGCTAGCAAACAATTTCAAATTCAACATTGCATAATTTTCTGCTATGAAAACAGACCAACTCTTACAAAGTGGCCTACAGCAGAACTGAAATCTTTTACTATACTTCTTTTATTGATATGATACAGTCTTTGTTTAAAGAAAGATGGAATTTAATGTTAAAGACAATCTCACGAAAGCAGCTGATACAAAAGCTGTATAGGATTATTCCTTTACAGAATTGCTTGCTTTCGCTGGCAGCCTTTTCTTCAAATGAAAAACAAACATTTGGTTTTGGCAGATACTAACTACTTTCAAGTTACTTGTCCCTTTATTTAAATTCAAAACTGGCAGACATTTCTTATTAAGGCTAAAAAAATTTCTGTCTGATTCTAAAGAGAAACTCATGGTGCGTTTTCTTATCAAATTCTGTACATTTCCACACGCTGACATTCAAGAAAATTATGATCTCATTGGCATTATGACATTGTTTTGAAAATAAAGCCAAATAATTTCTCTCATTGCTGATTAAGAATTTAAATGCCCATCATGCAAACCTGGCATGCAGCAACAATTTCTGCCTGGGGAAGGTTTTAAACAAAGGTACCGTACTAAGTGTCTTCTACAGCTGTCATTTGTCAGGACTGGAACCCAGGGTAAGGCACAAGCACATCCTGATCTTAAAACGGGAGTTTCCCAGTTCAGCTGATCTCTGTTGTGGTACAAGGCGTCGAGCAGGTCACTGGCCTCTTCCCTCTCACCACCTGCACACAGTGATTATCCTGTTAATAAACAGACAGCAAAAGGCCTGTAATCACCCAGAGCTCGAACTTACACTCGTCCTTCTGCCGCATCTGAGAGAGGCGAAGTCCGGGCGCTGAAGGCAGCTGAGGGCAGGCCCGGCAGGGCCAGGGCGCCTTCCCGCGGCAGCCGAGGTCCTGCTGTCGCCTCGGGCCGGGCACTGGCGGCCCCGTGTGGCGGTGGCACCACAGCCTCCGCAAAGCCGCGGCCCCGCCAAGCCGCCCCGGGCGCTCGGACCAAGCGGGACGCGGCCGCCGCCCGAGGGCAAACCGGGCCAGGCGGCCCCGCCCCTCGGGGACTACACTTCCCATGGAGCTCTGCGCCGCAGCAGCGTCGTCCTCCCAGGAGGCCGCGCGGCGCCGTGCGCTGCCATTGGTCGGATTCGAAAAGAAGCCGCGGCCGGAGGGGAACGTGAGCCCAGGAGCGGCCGGGGCCGGGCGGGTGAGTGAGCGCGGTCGGGGCCGGGCGGGTGAGTGAGCCCGGTCGGGGTGTGTGGGGCACTGAGCCTTCGCCGGCAGGGCGGTCACGGTGGTTGTGAAGCGGGGCTCGTGGGGCCGTGAAGCGGTGTGGGTGGTCTCTATGGTGGCCGTGCGGAGCCCACTCCCCCTGGCTCATCCCGCTGCCATCCCGGTTACGCGGGACGGGCTGTGGGGTGTGAGCAGTTTTAGATGGGGCCTACAGGGCCTGGGTAACTCCAGCCCTGACCGTGCTGCTGCCGGAGCCGCGGCGGTTGTGCCCCGTACGAAGAGGCAAATAGCGTAAAGCTGGAGGTGAAAGGTTGATACCTGCAGAGAAGAAAGTTTCCTTTTATTTTTTTTTTTTTTGGGGGGGGGGGGTGTTAGAATCGGTGCTTTAGGTTTTATGTAAGCTGCCAGCCTTACTGTGTGGTTTGGAGCTCTTTGTACCTTTTGTTGCGCTGCCTGGCAGCACCACAGGCTGTGTGCGTGCTGTGGCCGTGCTTTGCTGTGTGGGCCTCTGGGGATCTCCTTCTTTTAGGGTGTCTGCAGCTCTAAATTCTATTGCCACGGTTAGCAGGCTTATAATAATGCATTCCAGGACACGAGTACCTTTTAGTGCCTGCAGCCGGGCAGTTGTTCACACCGGAATACCTGCAATACTTGCAGAGCTGTGTGACTCAGCGTGGAGGCAGCGCTTGAACCTCTCCGTTCTGACCGCCGGGCTGTGCAAATACTTCTAATTCTGGCTTTGTGTACACAGCTTAACGCTTGTCTTTTGCTACTTAAGGAAAAAGGTACAGAGTGAGAGCATAATCTTAGCAAATCACACTTTAAGCATAGATTTAAAGCAACTAAAATGTCAGTCATCTAACAAATATGCTGCCTGTAAAGGACTGATAAGAGTTTTGCAGTGTGGCTTTGTGTAGCTGATAAATAGAACTTTCAGATAATGACAGCAAGGTATGTTTCTTTCCAGCCACAGCTTATTCACAGGTCAGTCTTTGTTCAAGCCATGATAATATTTCAGTCAAGTTTTTCCAGGTTTTCATAGAGATGCTAGGCCAAAAAAAATTAGATTAGAAGAAACATTAGATTAGGAAGTAAACAGTGGTGCTTAGTTTATGTATAGCTTTATCTCATTTGCAGCCTGGTGGCATTTGTCTAACTGCTTCAAGTTGTGTCTGGCTTTTGCTGCCTAGATAGGAAGACTGAGCCCTTAAGTGTTTTGACACTGAGATGCAGACACATCTCAGGTTTTATCCTGGGGGAAATTGAAATGGGACTGCATTATAGGCAGGAAACCAACACTCTTCCTAAGCAAAAGGGTTTTGAACCAGTCCTACTATGCCCATTACTTTAATGAACGTTGCATGCTCTCTATTAGTATTTAGTAAAACAACTTGTATGCTTTCCTGTAGCCTAGACATGGTAATGCAGCACTAGAAGACTCTTGAATTGTTATGTCCAAAGCTTTAAAATATAGGAAGTCTTGTGGTAAGTGTCCGGTTGCTGGATCCCTTGCTGCCATAGTCTATTAGTAATTGCCCAGTGGGTTATTTTAAACTTGATCTGTAAAAAAACCCTCTCACATCACAGGAAAAATTAATAGGAGAGTAAAATGCAGAAAAAAATACTAATATTTTACAATAACATTCCCTTTTTAATGGCTATTTTGAAATTTGCCTATCTGTCAACACTGAATCATTTTACTTTTATTTTCTGTAGCAAATTTTCACTGCTCAATTTGTGAAATGTACAGAAGGAAGTATTTTATATATTAATAAATTAATTGCTGAGCTGTAAAATTACCAAAAAGCAGTACTCTAACTTGTACTCTGGCATGAGCTTTTCTAATATACTAGTGCCTCTTTAATAGCATAAAATTATCTATTAGTATTTGGAATGTCTCTGAACTGTGTCTTGTATTAAGCTCCTCTGTGTTATCTTTATAACACCAAGTATTTGTCAAGTTTAAAGAAGAGTGGATGTTCTTGATTCATGATGCAGGCCCCCTTTCCAGCCATCAGAAACTTGCTATGTAAATTATGAACAGGATAAAGAAAACTTCTTTCTTAAAGAAATTGCAATTACCAGTTTCAAATTGACTCATCTCCTAAGGGGCTTTAGAAGCTCTGTTACGTGATCAGAGAGCACAAAATAGCTTTATTTTATCCTGCAGAATGGAACCGACTTTGGATAATGAGAAGTTTTACAGACCATCCTATATTGCTAGCATTGAGCCATCTCCAAGAGCAGGACCAGTAAGTGTGGAAGATATTAAAACAGATCTCTCCTCTGAATTTTCTTTGGTTTCTTCAAGCTCAGACACAAGCCAGGTAAGAAAACTTCACTGTTCGGACATTTATTTTAAAAAACATAAGCTTAGTCCTTTCACAGATAAAAGTCAGACTTTTACAGAGAAGATGAAAAGCTTCTTTGTTGTTTTTTAGTTTGAAGAAGGTGCATAGGATTTAGACTGAGTTGTGTGGCACTGCATTGATGCCCTGTTGGGCACTTCAGTTTTCTGTGAATGAGGCTGATTGCCAGTTCATATAATGTTTTTGTTGGCCTGAATGCAGTGTTTACATAAATGTAAACATTGCAAGATTAACTCACCACAGCAAGCTTCTGCAGGGCCCTAAGCACTTGTAAAAGCTGATCTAGTGAAGTAGTTTTGCTTACCATGTTACTATATGTCTGTTCAAAACAGCCAGATGAAATAAAACTAGTTTCATGTGCTAATTATTTCATGTTTTAATTTTTTTTTAAGAGGAGCAGTTTGGAATCTAAGGGACACATACAAGTTTGCCTGCGTATCAGGCCATTTACATCGTTGGAAAGAGAAAATGGATCACAGGTGTGACATTTATTCAGTTTAAAAATGCTTAAAGTTTGTTTTGTGGGGGAGTTTTGTTTGTTTTTCCTGTAACCTGAGCTCTTTTAAATCTCTTCATGCCTGCATTGCTTGTTTCCTTTTAATAGGACTGTGTTTCACTTGAAGATTCAACAAATATTGTACTGAAGCCCCCACAACACTTTTTGAGTCGACTAAGTGAAAAAACTTCAGGACCAATGTTACAGAAGTTCACTTTTTCGCAAGTAAATGACTTGTCTTTAAATGTTTTTCAACTATTTCTGTTATAGGTTGTTTTAACTTACATTATTGAATACCAAGCAAACTGTGTTTTTTAACTTTATAGTCTTTAAGATTATAAACTAACAGAATTTAAAAGATTCTTTAAAAGTCTCTAATAATTGCTCAAATTATAAATATTTCCTGGTAATACTCAGGTGTTTGGACCTGAAACAACCCAAGAAGAATTCTTTGAAGGTACCATGAAGCAACCAGTGCAAGATTTCCTAGATGGATATAATCGTCTTGTTTTTACATATGGTGTAACAAATGCTGGGAAAACTTACACTTTCCAAGGTAAAAGTAGAAATGAGTTCTTGCAAGCATTTTCTTTTTTTTTTTTTTTTTAAAGTAAGGATTACTTCTAGCAGAAACATTATAACTTTTTCCTTCATTTAAAATGAAGTCTCTATCTATTTGCTTCTCTAATGGTCTTTCAAAGTCTCCTTCTGTAGCAAATTTAACTGCCAACAGACAGTCACTACCTGAGTTAACCTAAAGACATTGTCATATTACTTTGTAAGGTTCTGTAATTTCAACTAGATATATGTGGTCTATTTTTCTCCAAGTATCTCATACCCCAGGGGAGTTGGAAAAAAAATCATATTATATATAACAGATTTTGAAAGGTGTTAGTCATTCTACACCAGACTAGCATTTTCTGGAGTTTTATTATCATAAAAGGTATATGCATAAATAAGAGATAATATTTGAGTGTTTCAACTATTATTGGCAGAGGATAAATGTTTTGAAACTTATTTGACTATTTTCATGTATTTCTGTCTTAGCTTGAGTTCCCAAGCTTAATAATATTCTAGGAAGCCTTATCTCCTGGTGCACTGTTTCTGTTCTATTAAAGCTCTATATACTTTCTGGTCAGAAGATGTCATTCTTTAGTTATTTTTCAAAGCATTTTAACAAATGAGGTGATTTGGTTCACGTTGAAACAGTTTCTTTTATAATTAAATGGCAGATCTAGATTGAATATCAGTTATTTTATACAAAGAAACAGTAGAAGGACGATGAGTTGTGTCGCTTGAAGCTAATCTTTATTGAAGTGACAATATTTTCTAAGCAACCTTCTGTTAATTGGATTGTAATTAAAGACTACTGCCAGTCCTTTCAGTTATCATTTGTCTGGGGCAAGAATGGGAACGTTCTTTTCTGTCCTAATAAATAAAGGTAAATCACAAAACCACAACAATTCTTCATGTGTGTAGTCTCCTGTGCTTGACTGATATCTTGGGTTTTAGCTTTTATCTTTTTCAGAGTCTCTGCTGCTTAGTGTTTAACTCTGAAACTTCATATTAGGTGTTAGTAAGTTCTCTCAGGGTAGTTAGACAAAACAATCCCTTCCTAGCTAGAGAATCAAGGGCACCTGGTACCAAAAAGCATGAACAATGTTGAGGGAAAGGGGGCAGTCCAGGGGGCTGAGACTTCATAGCCTGGGGCTGTGGTTGGATAATTGACCCCAATATGTAGATGAACCAAAACTTTTAAAAAAGTGCAAAAACTCATGA